TTGCTTTATAGGAGCCCTGGTGGTATAGTGGTTATGGGTTGGGCTGCAATTCACATGGTCGGCAGTTTGAAAACACCAGCGGCTCTGAGGGAGAAAGACTGGACTTTCTACAGTGACCCTCTCAGAAACCCACGGGGGGTTTGCTATGCATCAGCATCGCATCGACTGGCTGGCAGCGAGTTTGGTTATTGGCTTACTATTCATATCATTAACATCGATAGTCCCTAGTCTAAACTAATAACCAAACCTCCCAATAGTGCACCCCTCCCCCACTCCTTGATTTCCCAGCTCCCGCCAGTGAATCACAGTCCTCCACTTTAACCCCTTGCTTGATCCTCTCTCCCTGGACCGCCCCCTTTGGCAAACTCCAAAGTCTGCGTCCTTGGTGTGAAAGTCTTTATCTTGCTCTGGTTTTGTTTTCCCTCTACCGGTGGTCTCATCTAATATTTGCCCTTTGGTGATTGGCTGACTGCACTCAGCACAGGTTCTCCCGGTTCAGCCACGTCACGAGGTGATTCGTGGTGTTTCTAGCCATGCAGGGTATTCCACGGTGTCTATGTCTCAAAGATCCTTTACCCGGCCTTGCGTTGATGGATATTTAGGTTGTTTCCATCTTCTTGCTTTTGGGAGCAGCGCTGTGGTGAGATGGGGGCGAATGTCTCTGCTCGTTCCGTGACTCTTGTTTCTTTTGTACATAATATACCCAACAGAAGGATTGGTAGGTGGCATGGAATTCCTGTTCCCAGCTGTTTGAGGTAGCACCGTATCATTTTCCACAGTGTTTGCACTCGTCTCTCATACGTGGGCCCTGTTATCAGGAGCATTCTGTTCCTGGCGAAGGGCATCATGTTTGGTAGGGCAAGGGCTCAGCGGAAATGAGGAAACCCCTCAGCAGATGGAGTGACCCAGTGGCTGCAACAATGAGCTCACGCACAGCAAAGACGCTGAGCCCGGCCCAGGACCAGGCAGTTGCGTTCTGTCCTACACAGGGTCTCCATGACTCAGAACATCATCCAAAGGAAACAAACTAGCAACAAAGCAACATGAAATGGGGGCTGATGACCTTCTAATCATTCAGCTAAGTCAAGTGTGGTTTTCCAGCTCCCCTCCGCCCCCCCCCTTTGTGTTGCCTATATTTAAAAAAAAATGGAAAAGGAAATACCACTCAGCTTGAAACTCCGTTTAAAACCATCAGATTTCTCTTTAAAGTTCCTTTGAAATACAAGTCACTTCCATTAGGAATGTGGACAAGTTCATCCGAAACCCTTGGCTCCTATGAGAGCTGACGTAGTAAATAAATGCTTTAAAAGGCAGTCATGGTATTATGAAAGGAGGTCTGTCCATGCGCAACAGGTCAGTTTTCTTTAAACACAGAGGGTGGCAACGCATTCTGGATTGTGCCCTTGCTGTTGTTACTGTGAGGGGCGACATGGAGGCCCTGGGTACAGCAGAAGTATCACCGGGTCAGTCCTGTACCATGCACCCACTGTGGCCCCCACTGGGTCAGTTCCTCTCCTTGAGGGTCTTCCACTTTTCTGCTCAGCTTCGATTTTGCTGCATGCCCTTAGACCACGGGCATGACGTAACACCAACCACGTAGCAGGCAGAAGACAGCCACTTGCCCTCGGCGAACTAACGATTTCTTTCAGGAGCCAACATGTATCATGATTTTTAAAAAGGTAAGCTATACAAGACGGAGTGAGTCTTATTAAACTGAGTGACCCAGGAATCACTCAGAGGCCCGGAAAGATGGCTGTAGACAGAAGCTGCTGAAAGCATGTACTTTTGAAAAATAATAACTCCTAAAATGATGTCAAATTAAAGAGCTGCTATAATGTGTGCTAATTTGTCATATTGAAGTATTTTCATGGATCAACATTTGTTTTCTAACCAGTAGCTTCCCCCGACCCCACCCTCCCACTCCCACCCCACCCCACACACACAAAAGGGACCTATGGGGAGCATTTGAAGCTGGCAGGAGGCAGTTCTTTATAAGCTCCCTGGGTCTGCCAGGCGTGGGGAAAGACGTATTTCCTTGGCGGATAGCAGACACCAAGACGTGAGCAGGTTTCGCATGGGGAATATGATCTCTAATGATCAAAAACGCAGAACTCTGACTGTAACTTTTTCCAGGAGTCCTGGTTTCTATTAAACTCATCTCTTCTTTTGCTTGGCCAGCCGATATTTTTTTGGAAGTGCTTCTGGCTCAAAAATAATAATGACTTTTTTAAAAATCATTTTATTGGGGGCTCATGCAAATTCTTATCACAATCCATCCATCCATCCATTGTGTCAAGCACATGTGTACATTTGTTGCCATCATCCTTCTCAAAACATTTGCCTTCTACTTGAGCCCTTCGTATCAGCTCCTCATTTTTCCCCCTCCCTCCCCAATAATAACTTTTTTAACGTTTAAAATCTATGTTCATCTTAAGTAAAATGGACTTGAGGTCCAAGTTGTATTTCCAGGAGATGAGAATGTTCTAAATGCTAACAATGGGGGCGAGGGAGAGAAGGCCAGCGACAACTCAGCATCTTTTAAAATGGAGACATCTGTAGGGCCACGTGAACCAACCGTGGAGCCCAGGAAACTTCCGTCACACCGTGGGTCTGGCAATGACCTTCAGAAGAGTTCGCAGTTGTCCAGATCTCTTTGTGTTTCTTACCTGGCCTGGCAGGCGGTTTGGGCTCACGCAGATTTGTTGTAACGGAGCTGCAATTGCTTAAAATACAGGCATGTCTCGTCTTGCGTTTTGAGTCACTTTGGGCAAAGTTGAGAGAATTACAGTCAGCCTTTCCCGACCCCACCCCTCTCTTTCCCTCTCTCTCCATATTCCATGGCCTTCCAGATCTTCCCAAGAAGTGTCAGTTATTTCCCCGGAGCTACAAATCAGGGGCTCTTTCCGAATCGCTGGGCACCAGGTTAAAGGGCGCGCGCTCGCGGGACCCTTGAAGGGGAGGAAACCTGCCCTGGAGGGAGATCAGGAACGTTAGTCCCAGGAAAGCCGGCTCCTGGACGTCGGAAGGAAGACTTCCAGCCTCCCTGGGCGCGCCTGGCCTTTCTGCTGCCATTCCTGCCCCGCGGGAGCCCGAGCCCAAGCCGCTCGGGCGTTTCTGATGGACGCGCACTGACCGAGCCAGCCAACGTGCTCCCAGGAGCCAAGATCCATCCGTATTCCAGAAAGCTCGGGCTCTGCCCGCCTTCCCGGGGTGTTTTCATTCCACCCCGCCTTCCCCCGGCGGCCCGCCGCAGGCTCCTCCCCTTTTCTTAAGTTGCCTTGATAGTAACGTGCCCTCTGCAAGCACATGCAGACTGTCAGAGCCCGCTGCTCGCCCGCCCGCCCGTGCCTCCGAGCCCGCGGGGGACTTCACCTGGTCCTCGGCACGGCTGCCTCCCACCCGTCGCCAACCCTGAAAAGGTACGTGTCCCGCCCGCCGCTCCTGCTGGTGG